TATAGTGCATGTAAGTGTAAATGAATGTAAGGGGTGAGGCTAGGACAAAGAAGAGGAAGAAAAGATGGTATGTGATCCATGGCCCATTTGTTATGGTACTGCTCTGGCATTTGCCTGGCTTTAATCAGAGAAACCACAGAAAACTACTGATCAGTGCAGCTGGCTACTCGATTTCTCCTTCTGATGCCTGCTGAATTTGACCTCGCTTCTAGCTAGTGACGAAAATCCTGCCACCATTGGGACTCAAACCCTCCTTATCAGAGGCACTGCAGTGGCATCAGTTGATGCCCTGAGCCACCTCTGCCAATGAGGAGAACAAAGAAAAAGAGGAGAACAAGAGAAGAAAGAAAACAAGGAAGAGAACAAAAAGAAGTAGAACAAGGAGACAAACTCAATATAATACATTTACATTTGACTCACTGATTTGGGTAATTCTTTACATTTTTTATCTGCTATAGCCTTTCCTACTCCAAACATAATTATTTGCTTTCACTGACCTAAGTTTAAATCAAAATTAACACTAATACCAAGGACAATTGTGTTAGAGATGTACTAGGCAGAAATTTCTACTAGACACAAACAAAAAATTCTTAAAGTAAATATTTATCATTGAGTAATATGATTTTATTGTCCTCCACAAAAATATTTGTTTCATCATTACAAGTACATACCAAATAAAATTAATGTTTATTAGGCCCATACCACACATTAATACTACACTAGGATAACATTTCCATCATTAATTGAGAGCAATCATTATTTCATTACTTCTCAAGAAAGTTAAGTCTTCTCACCATTTGTGATTCATATGACTCCACAAAAAAACTGTTTTGACTTACCTCCTCCGGTTGCGTTCCTTCACTCTCATTGCCACTTTCTGCTTCATCAGCCTCATCTTCATTGTCTTCATCAGCATCTGGTTCGGCTGCAGTATCTTTTCCAGGCGTAACTTTATCACCTGCCTTGTCAGATGCTTTGTCTCCAGATTCTGATGCAGATTCTTCTGCTGCTCCATGATGACTTGCTGGTGTGCTTGCAGAGCTTGCTACACCTCCTCCACAGGCACCATCACTAAGGTTTTTATTAGGAGTACACTGAAGAGCAGCCTGCCGAAGTTTCCTGGCCTGGATCATCTTCAACCTGATAAAAGAGAAAGTAACTTCACTCCTACTTCACTCGTAATAAAAAAGTAAAAGAAATATATTACTTGAAAAATCACTTGCTATTATGTTCAATTCTAAATAAATTATTTCCTATCTTTTCTCAAATATGCAATAAATAACTGAATTTACATTGCAAATAATTTCCAGATATTCTATAACACTATTTTCTTTTATATACATACACACACAATACAAATTACAGAATTATTAAATAAAATTCACATAAAAACTTTTGAAATCACAAGACTTATAATTACTGTGACTAAATAAAATGCACTTACTTTCGTAACTTTGTATCCAGAAGCCAGCGATCCTTCCTTAGTTGTGCCACAGTTTCCAAAGATCCATCCACTTGACGTAGAACAGCTTTGTTCTGTAGAAGTTCATTGCATAGGAATGCAAGAATTGCTGCTTTCTGAGTTGGATTAAGAGATAAAAATGGTTTCTCCTGCAACCACTCTGACATACGCCATGTGGCATTATCATGCAACTGTTCAAAAAATGCAGCATTCTTCCCAGACCCTGAAGAACTTGAGCCAGTGCAGCTTCCAGTTCCACCAGTAGTACAGGCCCCATCTTTTCCAGAAGCATTATTAGTATCACTACTGAAAGAGTTATGATGATCTGACTTTTTTTCACGATCTCGTTCAAAGTGAAGTCCTGAAAATAGCATAAAACTATACGCATACCTTACACAAATAATCTAGACACAGAAATAGAAATACAAACAAGACATAAATTGAAGTCCTCATGCTATAAAGGCATGAATTCTTCAACGGAGCAGAATAAAGAATCAGGGATGTTCTTTAGATGATAATTTTTCTTCAAAATTTGTATGTTACACTTAAGAAACTTCGATCAAAAAGTAAGTGGTATAATTAGTTTTATTTTATAAACCACATTTTACTATATACTATTTGCAATAGCAATTCCATAAACTGAGAATTTGTAATAGTCACAAATTTAGATTGTTAGTAATGTTAGAAAAATTCATTATTGAAAATCTCAAATAAGATATAGGGGATCCTCTATGGGTTCACCGTATTTTATCCTTGGTTTCTACAGATCATGTTTTATACATTCATTTGATTTTTATTAATTAGATTTGTTTTGTTTCCTCACAACATATTCTTGAAATAATAGTGACAAAGCCTACCTGTAAGGGCCTTTACTTCACCAGTAGCATTTGCATAAAGATAAATGCGAAGTATTTCTGATATATTAGCATGTGTTATGTCTGCCTGCTTGAGGGACTGCCCTAGAAGAGTTGTGTGCCGTGCTGGATTGGGTATGCCAGGATCTTCAATTGCACACACTAACAAGTGGGTCATAACGGACAACAATTCTTCTTCCGCTTCTTCATCATTTAACAGTGCCATCTGCAAACTATTGAGACTCGGAAGGCTTTCCATATCTGCAATAACAGTAATAACATCTTATAATTACATCAAGAAAACCAAGATAATGACATTATTTTGAAATATAATATTTAGTCATAAACCATTTAAGTTAAACAACAAAATCAAATAGAACAATGTAGTTTAGCATGTAGAGTTGTCTAACAAAATAAAATAGTAGTAGCAGTAGCAGTAGCAGTAGCAGTAGCAGTAGCAGTAGCAGTAGCAGCAGCAGTAGTAGTAGTAGTGTGATTTAACATAACTTCTTCTTTGAAGATATAACAAGATTCAAGATTGTGTTAAACATGGTTAAACATGTCATTTAGTGAGTTGAGAATTCCGAGAAATGTGTGCGAGTGTGGGTATATTTAATCATGCTTTTATAATTTTGTAAGTGATAGAACTTCGCATACTTTAAAAACCTCCTTTTGAACAGCAAACGGTTTATTATGGAGAATATGGAGGAATATTCAGTTATTCATTGTTACAATCACATGTCATTGCATTACTTTGATGAATGACATTTCTGTTGTGCAGTCCTTCTCTTATTTTATTATTAGTGGATGATAATAAATTGTTAATGCCTATTTAAATACCTATATTAGAATTTTTTGTGCCTATTTTGCTTGCCTACTTTCACTGTATTTAGTGCGCAAAAATTCGCAGCTTAAGTATTAATATTGAAATTTAGATAACATTTTAAAATTCCATGAATATTATATTATATATCTCTCAATACATTAGAGGCTATACACAGCATTGAAATATTCGGTTATTTCCAAAAAAATGCTTTAATTTTATAGCTATCATCTTTAATTTCAGGTCTTCCAATAAGAAGGTACTAAGACTAATAACATAATATGGAATATTCCTCATTCCTAATAAAAATACATGCTTTTGTAACAGTTTATTTGTAGTACACTCTCTGTAAGGTTACAGCATAAATAAATCTTCCTGGCCTAGTTTGTGCAATCCTTATTACAAAAACCCTATAGGTCCCCTCAAAATCCTGCCTACAGTGAGAACCTAACTTTATAAATAAATACTACTTTTTTATTCTCATTTCAACAACTGAAACAAATTATACGATAGACTAAAATACTAACCAAAACCAAGAGTTTCTCCAAAGTTGTGGAGGAACTCAAAAACCATTAAAGTATCTGCAAACGCTTGTCCAGAGAGCTTGAGACCAGGAATTCTATTGAGAGTAGGAAGTGGTTTGTGATCTGGAAGAGAAAAAATGCCAATGAAAAACATTTTAATACAGTTGCAAGTCATCCATATTTGTCAATTCAAAAACTTTACACTTATATATGTGTATACAAAGCAGTAAAACGGTATAAAAACATGTATATTCCTTTATAGGTAATGATATTTATCATAACTCAATTTACAGCTAAAACATTCACAAGTCTTATTCAACACACTCACTCTTAATTAACACACTCATACCAGTTAGTTCCATGTCTTCCGCAGGTTTACGCATTTCTCGTACAAGCTCCAGTTCGAGGCGCCGCTGTTGAGCTCGACGTTCTCGAGATGCTTCCTTCTCAGCACGTGCCTCCTGCCGGCGACGCTCACGCTCCTCCATACGCTTCCTTGCCTCCAGAGCCTTCACAAGCATCATATGTTGCCGGCGCCTTTCTCGTTCCTGTAGCCAGCCCCCAAGTTCCACATCAGTATTGTCTATCACAACCCTAGCAGCCTAATGACCCATGATGCTTATATATGTTTATCTTTTAGTGATGGGACAATTTGTTTCAAACATTAATTCCGGTTAAAAACTATCAAGAATTTAAAATCCCAAAGCACTGAGCCACATTTCATGACAAGTAGTTGATTCGATCTAAGATACACTTTGGAGTCGGGCACAAATTCTTCTGAATGAAACTTCATGATAATTACATTTTCTTTCAGAGTAGCACATTTTATTCAATTGTTTTTGACATAAAAAAATTAACAACTATAAACTATAAAACATGAAAAATTTTATGCCATCAAAATATTAGAAATAGAAATTAATTTAACACAAATAAAATTCAAATCATACAACAAGTACTACCTGAGGTATTAAATTTTTACATTTTATTTCAACTACGTTTGACAATCACATTTCAAACAATGATTTTGGAGTGTAAATACTTCCAGTTTATATCACTACAAAGAAAATATTTAATAAATGATAACTTTGAAATCCTTTCTATTCATTGCTTCTTTGAAAACAAAATTAAAATGTACTTTTTCATTGTTTTGAATTGCTGTAGCCCACACAAAAGGAAAAAACTTTTGTTTAAGAATTGAAGATCAATAACAAATAGGAAATTCTACATGTTTATACAGTTATATATTTTTACTAAAATTATAGATTAAAAAGTCAAAGAAATGCATAAAAAATATACTAGAAATGCTAACAATACTCTGAAGAAAATTACATTCAATGTGTTTCAAAATTGTAAATTTGTGCCATTATCAATCAATTTTGAAAATCCAAATGATTCTACAGTGAATCTATCACCGAAACTACATGTACTCCCAGACAATTTGTTTAAGAATTAAATAAAATGACACTTTTTGAAATGTGAAAGACATGAGAAAATTCATTTAAATATTTGTGAGTTGCCTATTTCCACTAGTCTTCATATTTTTCACTTAGTAAATAGTAAAAAGGTGTTAAAATTGATGTAATAAAAAAACATCCACCATGGGTATGAAAGCTTGTTGTTATGTAAAAAAGTAATTTACGTATGCTTGTTAGTTTCACCTCCAAAAAATAGCAATAATAAACAATATTAAATCACCAAAACCCAAACCAAATATTAATTATTGAACATGAGCCTCATAGAAATACTATTAAAAAATGTATTATGAACCGATTTTAAAGAAAAATAATATAAAAGATATTCTAGACAAGATAAAATTGTATACCTCTCCCATTCTAATAGAAAATATCTACACAAGTAGAAGGGGAGCCATCACTAATCACATTTAGCCACTATTTCAAATAGATCTAAAAAGTTAATCCTTTACTAGTAACTAAGACTACTTGGACTGCTACAAGGGAAATCAAAATGATGCTATTATTAGTGCACCAAGATATGTGATGAGACAAAATGATTACAAAGTAGAATGAAATGTGATGGAACTAGAAAAGCGGCAAAATGCGAACAAGATGCCAACAAAGAAAAAACACTTCACTTTTTCCATTAATCATAACAGGTAAACAAACTTTGGAAAAAAAAAATTTAAAAAAAGAGAAAATAGAACAAAATTATTCTATTTTCTCCCAAAATTATTATATATACTTCTCCTTGTTATTGAATTGGAAATATAAATTATAGATAATGTTATAGAAAAAAACTTGAATTAAAAATGTATGTTCTTATTCCACTAGAACTTTCTCTTCTTAATATTTCCCTTGGATAACAGCAACAGTGTAGTTTTTAAATCAATTACACGCAATTTTAGAGCAGGAAACATTAACACAAAATGTTTAATATCAATGAAACATTTTTGTAGAAATATATAGCCAATATAAATAAAATGGATGTTTAATGAATGGTTCTACTTAAATAAAAAATAATCTTTTTACGCAATGTCTAACACATTTGTTATTAAAAGTTAAATATATTAATTATGCCTTTTTTATCCAATTTCATTGTGACCTATTATTTCCGTACATTAACATTTTCAATTCAAAAGGAATGCATACATAATTCTCCAAATGTATTAATAAAAACTGGCATTATGCAGGAAGAAATTTTTAAACGAAATGTTTTCTTTAATAACATTTTAATATTTTTCCAAGTGAAGTATTTCTTCTATATATTACCCTCCTGGGGTTCCTTGTACCATTAGAAATGTACACACATGAAGCTGTAAGTTATTTCTTAGGATTAACCACAACATGCCCATCACAAATTAAGCAATGAAAATCATTATGTAAAACTGAACATGAAACCCAGGATCTAGGTTCATGTAAATATAAATAAAGAATGACTATAAAAGGAGAGGATGAAGAAATGAAAACGGAAACAGAAAGAATGAGAGGCAGAAATATGAGCTGAAAGCAAACAAGAAACAGGACGGAGATGGGCAGGAGCAAACAAAGAACATGACACTCTGAAGTCATATTAATACATACTAATTTAGAATTCTGACCCCGGCAACAAGACTTGCAATAATCCTGAGTACAAGCTTTCAAAATCACAAGTTAAATAAAACATGAATTAGGTATTTTAAAATTAGAAAAAATGAAATTGATTACTGCACACAGCCACAAAAAATTTAAAATTACAAAAGTTAGACTCGCTAGTTTTCCAATCACATGCTTAACAAGACCACAAAACAGGCATTCAAAGTTGTCATTTGTTATATTTTGCGAGTGTTTTAATATATTTGTGACGAACTTAGTGTTAGTGACAGAAAATAGCAGTATGGCATACACATGTTCAAACTTTCCCATCAATGAAAATATTGATATGGAGGCACTGGGTTGAAATGATTTGACTCAAATGGAAGCATACAACTGTTTCAAACTGATAGACATTTAAGGCAAACTAACGATATACAAATTGCTTCATCATTGTACAAAAAATATTTTTCTGCAGCTGTCTGATGACCTTACAAACTCATAATTTAGCCATTAGTGTTACAAACTAGTACTGTGCATTCAAAGATATGATTACAACTAACACCAATATATAATATAAATGAAAGAAAAAATGGTGAAGGACTAATACATAATTATACCACTCCAAATTTTGAAAATAAATTAAGTTTGCTTCATTGCAAATAATTTTTGGAGTTTTAAACTTTTCCTTTTTAATTTTAAGTCATCAGTAACAAATTTTAGAAATATGAGTAGTAGGGTTTTCCCCCCTTTCCCCC